GAGCAAAGAAACCAGCTTGGGATTTTAACGTGGTGCTGAAAGAACAGCTCCACTTCTTTCTAATGTGCATTTAGAGGCAAACAGCACTATCTTTTCTCTCTCTCCCTCTGTCCCTCCCTCCCTCCCTCCTTCTGCCTTAGACAACATTTCCCCAGCATTAAAAAAAATATGATTTCTCTCTACTCTTTTCATATTGTTTTGGAATGTGATTGCATATTATTGCAAGAACACAAAAAATTACGCCTTTTCTACCATAGCAGATGGCCGAAGAATCACTTGCACATTTGCATATTTGTCATTTTTTAAACATTTAAATCTTTGGAAATGTTTACTGTACTATAAACCTGGGGAAAAATTCTATTATCTTATACAGATAGTCCTCAACTTACAACAATTCACTTAGTGACCGAAGTTACAACGGCACTGAAAAAAGTGACTTAGGATCATTTTTCAGACTTATGATTGTTGCAGCATCCCCGTGGTCACGTGATTTACAGCTGGGAATTTGAATAACAGAGTTGGAAGGGACCTTGTAGGTCATCTAGTCCAACCCTCCACCCAAGCAGGAGACCCCACACCATTTCTGACAGATGGCAGTCCAGTCTCTTCTTGAAAGCTTCCAGTGATGAAACTCCCACAACATCTGGAGGCAAACTGTTCCATTGGTTGATTGTTCTCACTGTCAGAAGATTTCTCCTTATTTCTAGGTTGAATCTCTCCTTGATCAGTTTCCATCCATTATTCCTTATCTGGCCTTCAGGTGCTTTGGAAAATAGGTTGACCCCCTCCTCTCTGTGACAGCCCCTCAAATATTGGAACACTGCTATCATGCGTCCCTTGGTCCTTCTCTTCACTGGACTAGCCATGCCCAGTTCCTGAAGCCATTCTTCATATGTTTTAGCCTCCAGTCCCCTATTCATCTTTGTTGCTCTTCTCTGCACTTTTTCTAGAGTCTCAACATCTTTTTTTATAGTGTGGAGACTCAAGTGATCTTGACTGAATCCCTCTGTTAATGCAACTTAGGATTGCATTAGCTTTTTCAGCTGCTGCTGCCACTGTTGGCTCATATTTAATTGATTTTCCACTAAGACTCCAAGATCTCAAATATGTGTACTGTTGTTATCTTGCTTCTGTAATCAACATTTGCATCAGGGACAAATTTTATGCAAGCATGAGAAAACACATACACGGATGTGCTGAGGAAGGAATAACGGAGTGTACAAGAATGATTGATGTCTTCCTTATATGGTAAATAACTCTATTGTCTGATTGGCTAACAAAGTTTATAAAATGATGCCATTAACTTTTTAAGGTGTGGCACTTCTGAATACAACTGCTGCCAGTGTTCAAATTGTGTTCCCACCCAGGACTTCATTCGATCGAATTAAAGTACGGTCTCTTTAAGAAGCCTCTGCCTGAGTCCTTCATGACTGGATTCTATGGTATCAATCAAACACAACTGTGTGTTCTGGTTTATTGCATAACCACTACTACAGCTATTAAATTTAAACAACTAAACACCCCTCCAATGTATCGCTGGGCAGCATTTAAATCAAGTTATTTCACAATAATCCTTGTGTTTCTGTATACTCAATGGCTTTGTCATGAGATCAGCCAAATTATCCATTTGAACATCAGCTGCTATCCCTCTGTTGATGCATTGGGGTTTTTTGACTGCTACAGCATACTGCTGGATCATAGGTAAATGGTGGTCCACTAGGACAACTAGATCCCTCTCACAATTAGTATGTGTCTGAGGACAAAATCAGCAGCATTATAATAAGATGAGGCACAGAGGAGTAAATAGCACATTCATCTGTGCAATTCATCGCTTCTAGATTGAATTCAATGGGAGATGCGAGGGCTAAGGACATAGGAACTGAATCTGCATCACTGGCTACCAATGACAAATTGTAATAAAAATGCACACGGTCCCTTTGAATTTCGGAGAGCCTCTGCACTCAACTCAGGCTTATTAGTTGAATTTAGTTGAATTTGTGGAAGAGCAGTTACTGGATACATTCTGGGGATAGCAACATATATATCTTTTTTGATGTTCTGAGTTGAAGGAGTGACTTTAATGAGATCATAGCAAGTTTTTGTTCAGTTGCTAAACCATATCTGACTCTTTGTGATCCCATGGACTGTAGCACCCCAGGCTCTCCTGTCCTCCACTGTCTCCTGGAGTGACACAAGAAGTAGCTGCTAGCACTTTGTCAATCACGATAATTTTTTTTAAGTAATTGTATGTCAGAAAGATTATTTAGTAGCTTAACTGTTTGCAAGTGAAGCAGTGAAATATACTTTAACAGAACAACAGAATAACAAAGTTGGAAGGGACTTTGGAGGTCTTCTAGTCCAAACCCCGCTCAAGCAGGAGACTCTATACTATTCTGTCCAATCTCTTCTTAAAAACTTTCATTGATGCAACACCCACAACTTCTGCAGGCAAGTCGTTCTACTGATGAATGGTTTCACTATCAGGAAATTTGTGGCTATCCTAACTGGACCTTCATCAAATCCAGAAAAAGGGCCAGTACGAACTGGAAACAATGTTTTCATTCCATATGTTTCAGGAATATCTGAAAAGCTCATGAGGATTTTCAGCCAACACAACATACATACACACTTTAAACCCAAGAATACACTAAGGCAGAAGCTTGTCCACCCCAAGGATAAAACACCCAGACACAAACTGAGCAATGTAATTTATGCAGTACAATGCAGTGAGACATGTGCAGATCTGTACATTGGAGAAACAAAACAACCACTTCACAAATGCATGGCACAACATAGAACAAACCCATCATGACAAGATTCAGCAGTCCATCTGCATTTGAAAGACAACGGTCACTCTTTTGAAGACTGCAAAGTCCATATTCTGGACAGAGAGGACCACTGGTTTGAAAGAGAGGTAAAAGAGGCCATCTGTTAAAACTGAACAGCCTTCTTTCAACAGAGCGGGAAGGATATGACACCAAGTATCTCCTGTCTTTGAAACTCAAGTACTTTGGCCACCTAATGAGAAGGAAGGACTCACTGGAGAAGAGCCTAATGCTGGGAAAGATTGAGGGCAATAGAAGAAGGGGACAACAGAGAATGAGGTGGCTGGATGGAGTCACTGAAGCAGGAGGCGTGAGCTTAAATGGACTCCAGAAGATGGTAGAGGACAGGAAGGCCTGGAGGAGCGTTGTCCATGGGGTCACGATGGGTCGGACATGACTTCGCAACTAACAACAACAATCTCCTGTCTACAACACAGTCCTTTTAGCAGTTCCAAAAAGATTCCACACCCATTTGCACTCTGATTCAGGTGACACTGAGGGCACAGATAAACCCCCAAGGGGGCTCGATGGCTCTCAGAGAACTAATGGCCTCCAGCCTCAAAGTACTAACAACCAGATGACTACAAGGAATATAAATCCTTCCGTTACCCAGCATTTAGTCAGAACTGAGGATGCTTCTTGAACGAGAAGCGAAATGTCTTCAAGAAAAAGAAAGTCCACTTGGCTTTTGAAAAAGCACCACTGGGATAAAATGACTACTGCTATGCAGTTTAGAAGAGCATTAAGAGAGCTAATTTAAACAAACTCAAGTGAGACCATAGTTCTCGAGTCTGTTACTGTGACAGTTGCATGGCACGTTGCACATATAGAAACACATTTTGTAATTTGACGGTTTCGTTTGCTGTCATGTAACAAACCCGCAAAATCAGAAGGGTCTGAGTTTTGAACCCACATTCTGCCTACATAGTGATCCACGATTATATAGCGTGTTCTGTGCTAGCATACAAGTTTAATATTTGGTGGTGGTTTCAAGCGGATTCCAGGTAGCAACCAGAAGAACTTGTTTCCAAGGCTCCATTTTATTCGGGTTTTGGCTTCATTCCACAGTCTTTGGTCCAATATGTTAATTTCATAATCTTTTTTCTGATAAAGAAGTTAATTTTAGCCATCTCTGCAAGTTTCATCATCTTCTTCCATTGTGGTTAACATCAAATCTTTCCACTTTTGAGCATATAAGAATCTCACTGTAAATGCCATATGTAAAAATAAAGCTTCATGACATTTATTTATTTATTGGATTATAATCCCACCTTTAACTTAGGGTGGCAAACATTCATAATACTCCTTCCTCTACTATTTTTGGCGACTATAAGCCTGTCCTTCTACTCTCCAGGCCACGACACTAGCCGCTGCCCGCACTTCTAACCGGAGTGCAGCGAAATCATTTTCTTGATTCCCAGCCGGGCGTCGTATTTCGAAGCTCAATCTGAGTTCTGAGTTACAGGCAATTCCACAGGTCGTTTTCCTAAAACCAGGGGTAGGCAACCTTGGCTCTTTTATGACTCGTGGACTTCAACTCCTAGAATTCCTGAGCCAGCCATGCTGAGGGGAAAGGGAGAGGTTTCCAAGCGGAGCCATGCTGGCTCAGGAATTCTGGGAGTTGAAGTCCACGAGCCATAGAGCGGCCTAGGCTTAGGCCAGAGGTAGGCAACCTTGGCTCTTTTATGAGGCGTGGACTTCAACTCCCAGAATTCCTGAGCCAGCCATGCTGAGGGGAAAGGGAGAGGTTTCCAAGCGGAGCCATGCTGGCTCAGGAATTCGGGGAGTTGAAGTCCACCCATCTCCGAGTGGCCAAGGTTGAGAAATACAGGCCTAGGCCAAGGGTAGGCAACCCTGGCTCTTTTATGACTCGTGGACTTCAACTCCCAGAATTCCTGAGCCAGCCATGCTGAGGGGAAAGGGAGAGGTTTCCAAGCGGAGCCATGCTGGCTCAGGAATTCTGGGAGTTGAAGTCCACGAGTCACAAAAGAGCCCAGGTTGCCTACCCCTGGCCTAAACCCCAACTGGTTCCACACTTTGCTACGAGTGTCTTATCTCTCTTCCACAGCTCCCACACCATATCTCTACTATCTTCTGCTCGTTCCCGTTTCCGCCCTCTGACCGACGTAATTTCCGCGGAAAGTGCGGCGGCGGCGGCGGCGGTGGTGGCGGAAAATGGCTGCCATTTCGGCATCGCCGAGGTTCGCGAATGAACAATCGGGAGGGCTGGGCTGGGCAGCTGGAGGTTGGCTGAGGGCGGCGGCGGTGACGTTTTGTCGGCTCCCGCCGCTTGTTTGGCGCTAAGCGGGACTGGGGCTCTGCACCAACGGCGGCTTCCAGGTTCTTCCTTGTTCCGCCGTCGGTCCCCGAATACGGGTTCCATTGGAGTCCCTGCAGCGAGGGTTTGTGGTTTTGCTTGCTCGCCTCTCCTGCGCCGCCGGAGAAAAAATCGATTTGAGGCTGGGCTTGGGGGCATTCATTTTTTACCTTCTGCCCTGCAGAGCATTCCTTGGATTTTAATGCCTGTGCAAAAGGGAAAGAATGAGCGTAACAGCAGCTCCGAGAGCGGACTGCATGCTTTTTAATGGCTTAATTTTCGGTGCTTAAAAGATCAAAAGGCTTTACTGACGTTTTGAAAACATGTCAGTAAACCTCCACTCTATCTCGGGCAGGGGTAGGCAACCCGGGCTCTTTTATGACTCGTGGACTTCAACTCCCAGAATTCCTGAGTCAGCATAGCTGACTCAGGAATTCTGGGAGTTGAAGTCCACGAGTCATAAAAGAGCCGAGGTTGCCTACCCCTGATTTCTTGGGTATAAACAACTTGCTTGCTTGCTTTTGCTTTTTTTTTTTTTTTTTTTTTTTTATTCCAGGAAACATTTCTTGGATTTGCCTTGGGAAGACATCTTATTCCCTCGTGTTCTTCCACACCTTCCTCTGAGACAGCTCTTGAGCCTGCAAAGAGTCAGCAAGTGTTTCCAGAATCTAATCCAGCTTTACCTTACCAACCTGCGTTGTTTTGATTCTAGTCAGGTATTAGAAATATCATAAGTCCTTTTGCTCTGATCTCTCTATATTAAGAGCGCATGAGGTTAGAGGTCAAATTATAATGAACTCTCAGATTTCCTCTAGGGGATTTTCAGATTGATGTCAGACATAACTAAAACAAAATGAGATAGGATTTACTTGCTGAATTAACATCTCTGGTTGCTGAGCCTTTTTAAGATTTAGTGGTGATTTTATTAGAAAAATAAAAACACCGGTGCAAGTGAAGTGACTTTGATAAGAAAAATAAATCAGATGGTCTTTGTTTCTGTTGATTTTTTTTAGTTGAAACGTAGCTTGAAAATAAGAGAATAAATAATATCTTAACCTGAATAGAGATTAGACATCTCTAGTTCCTCAAGTTATTTTTAACATTTATATATGTTTGTGTGTGTATGTGTATATGTGTATATATGTATGTATGTGTATATATGTATATATAATGAAGTATTAGTACCACGTTATAAAGCCTTAGTAAGGTCAAGACTGGAATACTGCATCCAGTTTTGGTCACCACATTTCAAAAAAGATGTTGAGACTTTGGAAAAGTACAATGAAGAGAAACTAAAATGATTAAAGGCCTGGAGACTAAAATACCTGAAGGACGGTTGCAGGATTTGAGTTTGGCTAGCCGCTAGTCTAAAGAGAAGAAGGACTGGGGTGACATGATAGCACTATTCCAGTATTTGAGACAGCGCCATAAAGAGGAGGGGGTCAGTTTATTTTCCAAAACACCAGAAGGCAAGACAAGACACAATGGATGGAAACTAATCAAGGAGAGAAGCAACCTGGAGTTAAGGAGAAACTTCCTAACAGTGAGAACAATTAACCAGTAAAACAGTTTATCTTCAGACGTTGTGAGTGCTTCATCACTACAGGTTTTTAAAAGAGACTGGACAATCACTTGTCTGAAATGGTATAGAATCTCCTGCTTGAGCAGGGGGCTAGATTAGAAGACCTCCAAGGTCCCTTCCAGCTCTATTCTCATTCTGATTCTTGAGGTGGAAAAAAAATGAAACTTTGATTTTAGGTTTTACCGACTAGATGGCTAGTTTATACTATTATGTAAAATTAAAAAGTTGAGGTTTGATGTTATTATCTCATTCTACTGCACCAAAGGAAGCTGGAAGTCAACCTCTTTTTTTTTTACCCCCTCTTTCCTACAATTTCTCCTTCCCTTTTCCCACCCCTATCTTTCCTATTTTCTTTTGTATTTTTGTATTTTATATTATAAATTAATCATAATAAAAAAAAAGAATAACAACAGAAAGCAGAGTGGCAAGCCAAAAATAATCCCATTGTAATTGGAAGCGTTGAACTTTAAACTGAGTGGTCAGCCTACCATTTTGAAATACGAGTTTATTTTCATGAAAGTTAATGGAAATTTCTCTTCCATGTGCTTTCATTTAACGATTTATTAAATGGCTGCATGTGGTTTGTCTACTGTAGCTTCTTAGTCACTTTTAATGCCATCCTGTCAAATAGAGTGGTTGCAAACGCCGGTTTTTGTTTCCATATTGTTTCTATCCCAAGTCTTTTATGACTCAATTTATCATTGATAAAGTCTGGATAACACTCGTTTCATTTTTTTTGGTTTGTTCTATTTTTCTGAAATAGTCTTTATTTAACAGTATCTTTGACCTAGTTTTGTGATGCTGAGATGGTTTTTTGATTGATCCCTTTTTTTTCTTATATCGTTACACAAGGAATGCAAAAGGCACATATAGTGTAGGATATAATGGTGTGTTTTCTTGCCTACAAACAGGTTGGATCTCCTATCCCCAAAGCTGCATTCTGTATCCTATTAAGAGACAATAAAGTGCTGCAGCAACTAGCCTTGCAAAACTGTTCTGACTGGCTATCCGACAAGGAACTGCTTCCTGTAATTGGTCAAAACCATCAGTTGCAACAGATTGAGCTGAATGGCTGCCTGCAGCTGAGCCGCCATGCTTTGGTGGCCATCTCTTTGGGCTGCCCCAATTTACGTCAGCTTTCCTTGGCCCATTGCGAATGGGTGGATGGACTCTCCTTGCGGAGCCTCGCCGATCACTGCAAAGAGCTTGAATCTCTAGACCTCACAGCCTGCCGACAACTGAAAGATGAAGCCATTTGCTACCTTGCTCAGAGATGCCACAACTTAAAGTCGCTTTCGCTGGCTGTTAATGCAAATGTTGGCGATATGGCCATCGAAGAAATTGCCAAAGCCTGTTCTGATCTGGAGCACTTGGACCTCACGGGCTGCCTACGAGTTAAGAACAACTCCATTAGGTAATTTGTGCCGGTGTAGAGTAAAAATATTGTTCTTTTGTTTGCAGTACATTTATGTCTCAACTTTTCTTCATGGGGCCTCAGGATGGCAGACAAGATTTGTCCTCTCAACAGTTGGGTCGGTAGATTGTTATGGTATCCTGGCTGAATGAAAATGGAGACTTGATCTTTTTAGTTTTAGGCCGACCTGTGATAGATGGCCACTATAAGGAAGCAGTCTCTGTCACAGGTTAAATAAAACTTAGAAGTGTAAATACCAATAATTAAATTTGTATATTGGCTTGTGGTATAAATGCTGATGGTGTATTTATTTATTTATTTTCTCTTTTTCTGGAAAGGAAGGAAGTGGAAAAAGGAAAAGGAAAAAAAAATTATTAGCCCTAAATGTGAGATAGGAGACTGAGAAATTGGGATCATTTAAAATCTGGAAATGATAAAGATTAAACGTTAAATTTAAATATCAATGCAAAATTAAAGTTAAGGAAAACTTATTAGGTTATTGTCTAAAAGATGGAATGTCAAATTAATTAAGATATGCATAGACTGAAGATTATTGATGAATACTAGAAAGGTATTTTTTGTTTGATTGATAGAATAAGAACTGTATTGATCTGAATATGACAGTAGATCTTATGGGGGAAAGAGAGGGACTTAGTTGTTGTAATACTTTGAGATTTGTACTGATGATATTCAGATGTAATGGAATTACGATGCTCAACCGCCACGCTACTTTTCAAATATGTAAATGTAATATTGGAAAATTAATAAAAAACTTGGGCACAACAAAAAAAAAGGAAGCAGTCTCTGAATATTTTGCAGTGACAGAACTTCTCCTGACTCTGTGGCCAGAATTTGGTTCTGGTGCCAATTTTTGGTATTAGAACACCAAAAACTGGCATGTGGTGTTCAGTTATTTTAAGAGTAATGTTAATGGTTTAAACCAGCGGTTCTCAACCTATGGGTCGTGACCCCATTTGGGGTCGATCGACCATTTCACGGGGGTCGCCAAGCAAGGCTGTCCGCCATTTTCCCCCCTTTTCCAGCGGGTGCCTTACCTCCCTTGGGCTGGGCCAGCTGGTGGTCGGCCTGCTCCGTCTCTGCCGCTTGCCAGCTACACCTCAGCCGGCGCAGGGGGCGGAACCACGCATGCGCGGTGCTCCCGGTCAGGGAAAGTCCTCGACTTACGACCAGTTTAGTCATCGACTTATGACCAGTTTAGTCCTCGACTTATGATCGGTTGGGGGTCGCGGCATTAAAAAGGTTGAGAACCACTGGTTTAAACTGTGGAACAGACTTAAACCACTTTTATATGTGTCCCATTATCTAACAAGCTATTATGAAATTATTTTTGACACTTGAGGCATATTCCCATGAAGTAGTCTGGCCTTCTAAAGAATGGATTATGTATGATTTCCAGTAAAAAGGCATAAAGTATCCTGGTAGCTATTGCATATAGTGCAACTCCATATACTTTGTAGGATATAAGACTTGGCAACACTTAAGCAGATAAAAAGCTATCAGGAAAGGGAAACCAAACTTTAAATGTTCCTTCTGTAATAAATAATCTTTGAAAATTGTTCAGCTTTACCGGCATAACATTGCTACTAAGTGCAGTACAGGCAAATGATTTGACCTCATTGCTCTCAAGAGTGTAATATTCACGATAAATGTAATATTTGTGTTCCATTTATATTTTCTTTGCTGCACATGAATTGTCCATTGAAGTTCTATATCCATTTAATTGGAGGATCTCAGATTTCTGAATTCTGTTTTAGTAACAGTTTATAAGGCCCCAATCGATGTTCTGAATTTTGTAATTACACGTTTTGCAAATTCAGTCAAATCTAAGAATTCCAACTTGTTTGAATTATGCTGCTTTTTTGATGGTACCGAAACCTATGAAGCAGTTCTGACCCTTCCAAGAAAAGGGGATAGGTATGTGCATTTTTGGAAGGTTTGAAGGTTTTTATGATTTTTTTGATGGGTTGGAAATGGGAAAATGGGAGCACTTTGCTTCGAGGGTTCCTGCACCCCACATTAGTGGGACGGGGCCTAATTGTGCAACCCAAAATTGGCCGTTTTGCTCCCAAAATTGCAGGGAGTGTAAAAGGTTGCATCCTCATTCCAGCTATAATAGAAAATGCCAGGAATTGCTGCATATAGACACTGCACTATTCATTTCCAAATAGAAAAGTTCCAGGTAGATGACTGTATTCTTGATGTTTTGTATGTTCTCTTTTATAGGACCTTGGCAGAATACTGCCCTAAGCTGCGTGCCTTGAAGGTGAAGCACTGTCATAATGTTGCAGAATCCAGCCTGAGCATCTTGCGTAGCCGTGGAGTGGAGTTGGATGTTGAACCTCCATTTCAACGTGCCCTAGTTCTCTTACAGGATGTAGTGGGCTTTGCCCCGTTTATTAATCTTCAGATCTAATGAAAAGAAAATATTGGAAATTGACTCTGGGTGATCCCACAAAGTTTAAAAGTCTGAGATTTCACCTTTTATCGTTGTGAACTGGGTCTGTTTTGAGCCATTAATTCCTCATGTGGAACTCTGTATTGAAAAAAACAGAACAGTATGCATTCACATGAAACCTATAATTTCCAGCTTCCACGATTGATGCTTCTCATTAATTGGTCTACCTGTCTGTTCTTAAAGATGTTCTAGAGCAGTGGTTCTCAACCTGTGGGTCGGGACCCCATTTGGGGGCGATCGACCATTTCACGGGGGTCGCCAAGCAAGGCTGTCCGCCATTTTTTTTTGTCCGCCATTTTTCCCCCCTTTTTTGGCGGGTGCCTTACCTCCCTTGGGCTGGGCCAGCTGGTGGTCAGCCTGCTCCGTCTCTGCCGCTTGCCAGCTACTCCTCGGCTGGCGCAGGTGGCGGAACCACGCATGCGTGGCGCTCCCAGGCAGGGAAAGTCCTCGACTTACAACCGGTTGGGTAGTCCTCGACCTACGACCGGTTTAGTCCTCGACTTACGACCGGTTTAGTCCTCAACTTACGACCAGTTTAGTCCTCGACTTACGACCGGTTGGGGTCGCGGCATTAAAAAGGTTGAGAACCACTGTTCTAGAGATTGATTTGAACTCACTTGCTACTATAAAGTAGCTCCAAGCCATGGCATTGTTGAATCTGTTATCCGGCGACTTTTTCATATGGAACTTGATAAATCAGTTTGGAAATACTGTGGGAAGATTTAAAGACTCCTTGAAGGCCAAGAGATGGGCAACACTATAATCTTCCTGTTGTTTTGAATTGAATGCTTGTGGAATACTACTGCATCTATTTAGAGTGGCTACTATTTTTTAGTTTTGTAGTTCTTTTTGGGGTTAAAAGAAAGATAATTTTAAATCAAGCTTGAAGTCTTGGTGACCGTGTGGACACAGGCATGCAGTGTTAGTACATAAGTATTGAGGTGGATTGCCGTTGTCTTTTGGGACATGTTGACTTTCCAGTCATATCTATAGTCCTAATGTTCTCTGGTCATCCAAGTATTAATCAGACTCAATTCTGCATAGCAGAACTGTGCAAAACATTTCAAATTGAACTGTTCCTCATTTGAAACATGTTTCGGCTATGAAGCACCTTCTCTTGAATGAGAAGTACCTAATCTGAGTAATTTGGAAGTGTTTCAAGCTCAAAACGGTTGTTTCATGTGTGAAAGTCTGTTGTGTCAAGACAGTTCAGTTCAAAATGTTCTGTATATCTTTTCTTAGTTTCTGAGCCTAAGCATGGTCAGAATTACAGAACGGATGGATTATCATACTGATATCCACAAAATTGTTTCCTCTGAAAGACAAAAGATGGTAATTATGCGTATAGAAGGAATTACTATAACTAATATTCAAATGACTGGAAAACCATTGGAAAGTTCCTGTCTGAAAGAAAACACATTTCATAGTAATTTACATGAATATGGTTAAATTATACATAAAGCCTTGTAGATCAGCAAAAAGTACTCTGTTAGCAGTTGTAGGTCTTCTGTATGCAGAAGATAGGTTTTCAAAATTGTATATGTAAATTAAGGGAATCCTAATATGTTAGATAAGTAAGAAGCTTAATGCCTTACTTTTTGGCCATTAACTAATAAATCAAGTACTTCCTTGAGAATACACAGGGCTAAGTCAAATAACTCAGTGTAGCTTGCTTTTCTTGTCTGGCTTAATATTGATCTATGTTACATTCTTCTTTTTATTTATAACATTCTCCTTTTGAACTAATCTGTTTCTCAGTAAAATATTACCAATTTTGTGGATTGTAGACATAAAGGGTTCATTATAATAAGTCTCAAAGTATGTATACAGTCAGCTATGTTAAGCTGTCTGATTTATCTCTATATTATTTTGGGGAAATTCGCAAAGTCAGAATATCTTTTCTAGTAAGAGTGACTGAATCTGTCAATTAAAAGCAAATTTTATTTCTCTCACCTTAGCAAGAGGCATAAGAATAGTTGTGTAATCCAAGCACATGAGGTGTGCTTCCAATTTGAATACTGTGCAGAAAATAGTATGTATTTTAATTCTCAAAAGATTGGGAATAGAATACATATATGTCATTGCCTCAAACCTACGCTAAATAATTCAGTGTAGACAGGGGTCTTGTTTGTGTACTCTCTTACTTAATGAGTATTATAAAAACTCTACTATAAAAGTAGAACTGTAAAAGTAGAACTGCACGCTCTTTTGAGAAGGCTATACTGCACAAGGATTTTTCACCAGATAGTTGCAGCTTGTTAAATTACACATTATGTTGCTTAACGTTACCTTCTTTGCAGTCATAATTCTCAGAGGTTGGTGAGCATGGATACAATTCATGAAAGTGAAATTTGACAAGTTGGAGTATGTTAGATCAGATTATTTTTTTTGAGTTACTAACTTACGACTTCTATTTTTCCCAGTCTATCAATGATATTTGAAAGATTGGATTGAATCATGAAATTTAAGACATTATTAGAAAACAAACTTTTGTTTAAATCAAGTTTAAGCATGGTACTGATTATCTTCTTGCTTAAGAGAATTCATTAAATAGAAAATATCTCTTGGAAATTAAAAAAAAAATGTCTAGTGAAGTGTTGTTGGTAGAAATGAATGATCCCAGTAAAACGCAATGCTATTATAGATTCTCTGCTGGCAGAGCCAGAGCTACAATTTACCGTATAATTTATGCCATTGTACTTGTCTAATAAATATGATTTAGTGTATTTTGTCTACATTTGAAGGTTTTTTCCTATAGTTTTTATTATTATTATTAAATTTATTTGCCACCCATCTCGAGATAGGGCTACTCTCGGCAGCTTATAACAATAACAAACGAAGAAATAAAAAAGTAAGGTTAAACAACGCTAAAGTAAAATAATAGAACCATAAAATAAACCAAGAAAAAGTAAGCAGAGAAAATCTATCAATATGACTAGTTAAAAATACATGGGCAAGTGAGAGGCAGAGTAGGGTGGGTGGGGTCTTTCAGCTCTTAAAGATAGGATGTTGGGGGGCAGATCTTACCCTGGAAGGCAAGGTGTTCCAAAGGGTGGAAGGATCTTGATGGAGTTTTTTGACCAATGGGATCCACAATAGGGCCTCTGCCAGTCCGAGTAGGATGGGCTAATCTTAGTGGGATGAGATGGTTCATGTAGCCTGGACCCATGCCATTAAGGGCTTTAAAGGTCATAACCAACACCTTGAACTGCACTCAGAAGCAGACTGGTAGCCAAGTGAAGTTTGTGGAATATGATCCTTCATTGGGGCTCCAAAGATTGCTTGCACTGGTTGAAGCTTCCGAATGGATTTCAAAGTCATTGTTATTCAGGCAAGGCTGGATGATAAACCTCAGCAGCCCCCGTTCTGTTCCTATTCATTATCCACCATCGTGTAATAGTATTTCCAGTCTTTTGGGTCCAGTTGGTTAATTCAGAACATTGAGAACATCAAAATTCAGAAGATCGTTGAACTGTAGGAATTGGATAGGAACATGTAGATCCTTGAATTCAATTCCATACTCAGTATAGGAATCAAAGGTTTTGAGACTGATGATGTTTTCGTTTAAAGCAGTGTTTTTCAACCTTGACAATTTTAAGGCATGTGGACTTCAACTCCCAGAATTCCACAGCCAGCATTGCTGGCTGTGGAATTCTGGGAGTTGAAGTCCACATGCCTTAAAATTGTCAAGGTTGAGAAACACTGGTTTAAAGTATAATAGTTTTTTTTAAAATTTCTGTTAGTAACTTCTTCTTCCAGTATTGAAGTGCTTTTATCGTTTAGAAAGTTTGTCTTCCTGTAAATTAATATCACTGATCTCTGATTTGTATTCTGCAGTGATGATGGCCAATCTATCTTTGGTTTGGCACCTTGTTGCATACTTGGAAGATTGCTATCATGGGCTCCGTCCAATTTATCTTTTCCAGCAGTTAAATAATCCCACTTCCCACAATTTCCATTTGTAAAATTTAGGTTTTGATCCTTTTATCATCCTTGTTTAACGAACATATTCTACTTCGTTTGAGCAAGTAGGCAGGAAAGCCAAAGAGGAGCACAGGTGGTGTTCCCATCTGTTCTTCCAACTGAAAGTCAGCATCCAATGAGGGAACAGAGAATTTTAGAAATAAATCACTGGCTCAAAGGATGGTGTTGTCATGAGAACCCTGGGTCTCTATAGACAATGGATTAATTTACTCCCTTTAAGAGAGTGCTCCTAATCTCAGCTTGTTACCTGTATAAAAGACACCTGAGAGCCAGAAATCCTGCTGATTGATAGGGGATCAAATACCTATTTCACTTATTAAAATGCAAATCAATTTATAACTTTTTTGAAATGTGTTTTTTCTGGATTTTTGTTGTTACTTCATCTCTCACTGTTAAAATAAACCTACCATTAAAATTATAGACTGATCATTTCTTTGTCAGTGGGCAAATGTACAAAATCAGCAGGGGATCAAATAGGTTTTTCCCTCACTGTAAGGAAAAGTGATTGATTGCATAATACTCTGAATTCATTAAATAACTAAATTAGTGGATCGGCGAAATCCTGTGGACATCGTATACTTGGACTTCAGCAAGGCAATTTGACAAAGTAGACCACAATCTGCTTCTTGGTAGGATAGAACAATATGGGATAGACAGTACCACTATCAAATTGATTTGCAATTGGCTGATCAACTGTAGTCAATGGGTGGTGGAAATATATATGGAGGGAATCATGCAACGAGGTACCACAAAGTTTGATCTTGGGCCCAATATTCTTCAACATCTTCAAAAATCATCTAGATGAGGGGATAGAATAGATATTCTAAACTAGTAGTAGTTGAGTTGCTACTGATTCAACAGTAGTAACTATGAGCGGGATCTTGGAGTCCTAGTGGACAATCACTTAAATATGAGGTAACTGTGTTTCAGCTGCCAAAGAAAGCCAATGCAGACCTACGCTGCAGGGTCACATAAGGTGTTA